CCACAGCTCGATTGAGCCTTCTATTCCCATAGCACTCAGTAGTAATGATTTGATGTGCTTTTTTAACAATAAAATTGTTACTCTTAGAAACAAAATTAATGACCACTTGCCTTTGACCAGTATAGTGTTATCAACAGCTCCCGGAAACGTAAGTTCTAATATTACACTAGATAGTAAACTAGAATGCTTTTCAGCCATAAACCTTGAACAATTAAATTCAATGATTCTCTCTTCTAAACCATCAACGTGCATGTTAGACCCAATTCCAACTAAGCTGTTGAAGGAAGTTTTTCCATTAATTAGCACTTATTTATTAAATATTATGAATATGTCTTTATTATCAGGCTATGTTCCACAATCATTCAAAGTAGCAGTGATAAAACCGCTTCTTAAAAAGCACAACCTCGATCCAGAGGTTTTAGCCAACTATAGACCTATTTCTAATCTTCCGTTCCTCTCAAAAATTCTTGAGAAAGCGGTCGCAAAACAGTTGTGTGATTACTTAAAAAACAATGATTTATTTGAAGCTTTTCAGTCTGGCTTTAGAACACATCATAGCACAGAGACAGCTCTGGTTAAAGTCACAAATGACATTCTAATAGCCTCTGACAAGGGACGTGTCTCTATTCTTGTTTTGCTCGATCTCAGTGCTGCATTTGATACTATCGACCATGATATCTTATTGCAAAGACTAGAGCACTTAGTTGGCATACAGGGAACTGCTTTAGGCTGGTTTAGGTCCTATCTATCTGAACGCTCTCAGTTTGTACGTGTCAATGATGAATCTTCCACGCAAACCAAAGTTAGCCATGGAGTGCCACAGGGCTCAGTGCTCGGACCTATTTTGTTCACATTATATATGCTTCCGTTAGGCAATATTATAAGGAATCATTCTGTAAACTTTCATTGTTATGCGGATGATACTCAACTATATTTATCAATCAAGCCTGATGAAATTAATCATCTAAATACAATTCAAGACTGCCTTAAGGACTTAAAAACGTGGATGACCTTAAACTTTTTGATGTTAAACACGACCAAAACTGAAGTTATTGTACTTGGCCCGAAGAATCTACGAAACAAATTATCTAAGGATATACTAACTATGGATGGCATTAATTTGGCCTCCAGTGAGACTGTAAGGAATCTTGGTGTTATATTTGATCAGGATTTATCCTTTAACGCCCACATAAAATCAATTTCAAGGACCGCCTACTTCCATCTACGTAACATTGCAAAAATCAGGCATATCTTGCCTCAAAACGATGCAGAGAAACTAGTCCATGCATTTGTTACTTCAAGGCTGGATTATTGTAACTCTTTATTATCAGGGTTGTACCAAGAAGTCAGTCAAGTCGCTTCAGCTGATTCAAAATGCTGCAGCTCGTGTACTAACCAGAGTTAGGAAAAGGGACCACATTACTCCTGTTCTGGCTGCCTTACACTGGCTCCCTATAGAACACAGGATAGAATTTAAAATTATTCTTCTCACCTACAAAGCCCTTAATGGGCAGGCGCCATCTTACCTTAAAGAACTCATTATACCCTACTGTCCTACTAGGGCATTGCGTTCCAAGAATGCAGGGTTGTTGGTTGTTCCTAGAGTCTCTAAAAGTACAATGGGAGCCAGAGCCTTTTCTTATCAAGCTCCACATTTGTGGAATCAGCTTCCAGTTTGTGTTCGGGCGGCAGACACCCTATCCGTTTTTAAGAGTGCGCTTAAGACCTTCCTTTTTGATAAAGCTTATAGTTAGGGCTGATTAGATCCAGCCCCTAGTTTTGCTGATATAGGCTTAGTTTGTCGGGGGACATCTTACTTCTTCCTTCTCTCTGTCTATACCTGTGTACTCTCATGTTCCGATTAACCCAGCTTCCCCAAATGTCTTTCTTTTTGGTGTCTATATACGCCGGGATCCGGAGTCATGGATGATCCTGCGCTCCTCTGTCCTGGATCGCGAGCCCTGGATCTTGAGTCGTGGCTGTGGTCCTGGATCATAGGTCCTGGATGGATATCCTCGTGGATTCATCTTCCTATTATACACACATGCATTTCCAAACATTTGGACTACCTATGTTGCAAATGTATTATCTTTTCAATTTACACACGGCATCTATTGCACGTCTGTCCGTCCTGGGAGAGGGATCCCTCCTCTGTTGCTCTCCCTGAGGTTTCTCCCATTTTCCCTTTAAACTGTGGGTTTTCTCCGGAAGTTTTTCCTTGTAAGATGTGAGGGTCTAAGGACAGAGGGTGTCGTATTGTCATACTGATATTTTGTACAAACTGTAAAGTCCACTGAGACAAATGTAACATTTGTGATATTGGGCTATATAAATAAACATTGATTGATTGATTGATTGATTGAAAAGAAATGTAAGATGTTGTTTAATGGCTGATATATTTATGATCCACGTCACGTTTTCAGTTCCTCATGCTTGTCTAGAAGTCTTCTCATCAAGGCTCTATAAATACAGAACTACGGCAGATATGTAATATTTAATGCAGCCGAACCGTGTATTACAATGCTGTTATGTGATGACTTTCAAATAGAAAAGCAAGCACACTCGGAATAAAGTATTATTTTAAAAAATAAAATGTTTTCGGTCTGTTTCCGGTATTTGTTAATGACGATGTGCTGTGAGATGTGAGACTGGAATTGCACAGGGGAAAATAACGTAGGCTATCTTTAGATGCGGATTTTGTTAAACTAATATGTTTGCGCTGTGGACCAACACTATACATTGACGGGGAAGGGGGTAGCAATAAAGATAACACCATTAAACAGTTAGACAACATAACAGAAATAATATCGATAGCAGCGTCCCTAACAACCACCTTGGTAACAATGAAAACGTTGTGGACGCAATTTCCTGAAGTAATCTTCGTAATAACTAGCAAACTAAAGATCATGTACATCCACTGCACACATAATCTGAAATAACAACTCATATTTCTCGCATCAAATGACATCAAAACGCATTTTAATGGCCAAACTAACTTTAAAGTAGGCATTTTCCACCGAGAATAAAACGAAGTTCGGCCATGTTTTTTTTTTCTGCAGGGAGAAATTTGAAGATCACGTGACGTCAAACAGAGCACATGGTGTAGTCCAAACGATAGCTGGGGATTCTGGGTAGTGTAGTGTCTTCTGCCATCCTTTACTCCGAAAAAAATATTTGTTTCTCCGAATCGAAGGGGAAAAATACAAAAGCATTGCACACAATTTAAACCAATCAATGTTGTGTAATTAACAAGGATAATCTGGTGTTTTTTAGTCGATGAGTAGTGCAGATATCACTGTAAAATCAATCGACAGTAAGGGGAATACTTACTTCCGGGTGTACAATTCTCCGTTATCCAATGAGAATGGACGCTCACATTGCCTTTAAGGGCAGCCGACACAAACGAATGCCGTGCTTCCATGAGCGTCCATAGAAGCATATGGACATCCCGGAAAGCTGAAAATGGACGCTAAGGGCCCCCCCTTGCGTTGAAAATGGACGCTAAGGGCCCCCCTTGCGTTGGAAAAAGCCGACACAGGGGACTTGACATAACGTCAACATAGGCCGACCTGGGAGTGAGGATGTGTTGGTTTGACAGCCCGAGAAATACTATATGACATGTAAAACAAGAATACCGTTTAAAAGGTGAGTGATTTGTAAAATATCCATAAAGAAAAAGAAAATCTGTTTACCATAAATTCATTTTGCTCTCAAAGTGCACCAGGTTGATGCATTTAACTTCAATATTTAAAAAAAATATCTTCCCGCGGGAGCATGCCCCCGGACCCCCCTAGAAGAGGTGAGGACCCCCACCCCCACTTAGAAAATAGCACTTTACCTCTGCTTACACCTATATGCCATTTTATATGCTGTGAGCTGATTGTCGAGCCTTCATTGTAAGAGTCGCGGTTACACTGTGTATGTGCGTATTCCACTGTAGCGCCCGGTACATTAATGGGAAACCCTAGTTTGTACATGTTCAATACATTTGTAACACTGTACACATGAACGTTTATTTTTTCGGTTCACCAAAAATAATCTCACTCCAAGCTGAACTCAAATGTTGGCAGCCCTGCCTCATATCTGTTCAGAAACTAGACAAAAGTTAAACAAGTACAAACCACAGACTGCCTGTGTCATGGCGAATACAGTCGCTGGTTTATTTATGTCTGTAGGCCGTTGTTGTGAGTGTGGACGGTCGGAGCATATGCTGCGTTAGCTTAGCCAATCTCCATTCAGAAAACACTCATTTTAAAACGTTTTTCGCCTGCCGTCTGTCTGCAGACTTGTCAAAGCATTAATTCATGGTTTTTACTAACCGGTATCAGTATGTTGTAACTTCGGCATCATTTTGAAACGTGTATTACAATGAAATCACAGTAAAATATGTTCATTTTGTTGTAGTTGCCAGCGATTCTCTCACTAGTTTAGGATACTCAGCTCGGTTGTTGGCCCGGAAAGAACCTCGATTTTGGAGAGCCAGAAAACTGTGAAAAAGTACCCGCTACGCTTAAACCTCACTCTAGTGAAAATACGCCATAATACTCCCAGCCTTGTTCTGGAAACCTGGGCTATTGAGCAAGACCCAATACCAGTCAGACTGAGACAGAGCTGTTACTTCACGCTTCAATTAAGATCATCAGTGCTAGAATAAGTTTGCTGGATATATTGTGTTGTTCATGTTCGTGTTGTCTGGATTCAAGTCTGACTAGCTGTTGCTTATATTGGCCAGCAGATAAGGGCGGATTATGGGCCCCCATAAACAGACAAAGGCCCCACCATGTCTCCCACATAGAAACAAAAATACACACTTCATAGGTTTTAGTTTTTTCATATTTTTCTTCCTGTTTTGTGTCTCTTTGTGGTAATTTTGCCCCTTTTTATAGTCGCTGTAAGTGTGTGATTTTTGGTCACTTTGAGTCCGCACACGTGCCACAGGGTAAAAGTACAGAACTTGAATCAATTTTTCTTAGATTTGGCAGGAGCCCAAATCCACTCACCATTCACCTTCAGGACAAAGCCAGTGTCCTTGCTGCTTCCTGCTGTTTCTGTGACAGTGACCACGTAGTGCCCCGCGTCCTGCAGCCGCAGGTCCGACAGCCCCATGGAGCCGTTGTTGAAGGCCTGCACTCTGCCGCTGTAGTCCTCCGTGATGTTGGTGTACCCCCCCGGCTGCCAGGTGCCTATGGTGCGGCTCACCGCTCCTGACATAAAGGTCCATTGTATGGTGGGGGTCCCGTCGCAGGAAACTTCCAGTGAGAAAAACACATCCTCCTGCACTGAGCGGGTCAGGCTCCTCTGGGGAGAGTGAATGGAGATGGCTCCAGCTTCCAAAGAAAAATAGGAAAAGGAAAGTGAAGATATACATATTAAATGTAAAATGCGTTGTGTGGATGAAAAGTAAATAGACATATTAATTGGAATAAACACAAAGGTTCATAGGAGTGCGACCCGAGTGCAACAGACAGATACAATTAAAAAAATTATAAGTACAAAGGTATTAGTATCAAAATATACTTAAAAATCCAAAACAATTAAATATTTTGCACAATGGATTATTTCAGAACAGTTTATATTACATTGAATTATATATGATTATAATTATTGATACATTCCTGTGTTTATTGCTTTTTATGTTGCAGCTAATTTGAATGACTTTATATACTGCCGGGCCGCTTAATCTACAATAACACATCATCATTTATTCCTTTATTCCTATACTGTGTTATTTTAGTTAATCAGCAAAAATCACTGATATTTTCAAATAAACAAATGTAGTGAAATAAAAAGTTGAATATTTCTTTTTGAGATGTAGTAAAGTAGCACGGAAAGAAAATACTCAAGAAAGTACCTCAAAATGGTGCTTGAGTAAAGAACTTAAGGAAGTGCCTAAATACATTCCACCACTGGGTAGGACAGTAATTACTGAGAAACATTTCAGTGTATGACACAATGCAATATGCTCATACAAATGAACTGTTTAGCCTCATAGCTTCTCATGACACATCTAGTCAGGGCTGCAGGCCAACCCTGTGACTCACTCTCCATTTACACACACAAACGTGCTCTTCTTTCTGAAGGAAACTTGTCAAACAAGCTGAGAAATACTGATTTGAATGTAGCCAGCAGTGTTGTTGATCAAATATTTCCTCACAGTTTCAGCGGGGATCTGGTTCTGCTGATGTGTTTGCTCAATGAGGCACAGGTAAATAATTCCACCTGAGAAAACCAATGCTGACTAACAAAACGGCGTGGCTGCCCTTTTTTCATTATCACACCTAAAATAATCATTAACCAATACACTTCCATTATGAAGATACTTAAATGTTTTCCATGTTTGTATGGATTTAAAAAATGTGATTTAGAAAAGACGTGTATTTGTTTGTTTACGTTTTTTAGCAGAGATACTTCAGTCTGTGCAGCTTGACTTGTATTTGTAATGACATCATACTGCTCTCCTCTTATTTGGCATACTGTCTTTGGGCTCCAGAGTTTCCTCTCGTGCTCTGGGAACTTGGATGTGGACCAGGGCAGTCTGATGCTTAAAGGTCACGTCCACAGAGACACATGACTGTGTTATTTCTATCTACTCAGCCCTGCTATGCAGACTAAGACAAAGAGATTGTGAAAAAGAACAGCCTCCTGCGGGCTCTTATTTCAGTTCCTTTGTGAGGGCTGGACTTTATCCTATGTTTTAACCCTGAGCAAATATAGGATTGCCATATAGGCAGGATCTCAAGGGGTACAGTAACTGAATATATCCGCTCAAGTAGCGTATTTCATTTTAAAGTAAATGTACTTTGAGTATTTTTATTTACATGGCTTACCTAGGTGACACATATATAATGTGATGCTGAGAAACACAGCAACATCTTGTACATCCCAGAGCCTGAAATGCCACATTAGAATCCCAGACCCATCGGTCGAACCGCAGGCGAAGAATCTCCTCCGGGTTATTTCACATTCTGAAGTATTCTCCTCTCTGTGTTTCTCCTTCCAAGACAGCCTCTCCTCGATCCCAGGGTGTCTTATTCCAAAGCTCTTTGTCCAGGTGAATCTTTGAATGACTTCCGCCTTGATTTTGAGAGAAGTGAATTGTTTTTGGTCCCAGAAGTGCTGGAGTTTCCCTCCTGGCTCAGGACTGAGCTGGGTTTCTCTTCATACCTGCGCAAGTTAGTGCCAGCAGGCCCACACCTATCAGACAGGTTCAGCCAGAGATTACTGAGCAAACACGCTCTGTAAACTCACATACACACACACCCACCCACCCCCCCCCCCCCCACACACACACCACACACACACACACACACACACACACACACACACACACACACACACACACACACACACACACACACACACACACACTCAAAAACACAATATATCCTTCTCAATTTACTTAGGCTATATCACCACCAGCACCCCGCCCAACAAACACTCACCTGTATATGCAGACACACTTTCACAAAATGAAACCAGGATATAGGTTGAATCACAAGGAATTCATGTTGTTAGCGACACTCCTGGTAAAACATGTTAAACAGGAAGTGTATGTACGTATGCACCAAGGGACACAAACAAACACACTGCAGGGAAGTGCCATCATCAGTGTTGGAGGCATGAACAAGCTGCTTGATTCTGGGCCTGTGTGTGTTGACATTTCCATTGTATTCAAGGCGAGACACTACAGGCATGAGCACCCATACTTTACTTAATTAACAAATCTTCTTTCAGACTGGTAAAAAAATAAACATTCAAAATACACAAGTAGCTTTTTATTATACTAAACTTTGTCTGTAGATTTCTCCTTCATCTGCCTTGTTTAAATATTTAACAAGATTTTCAGAAAACTTTTGAAACAAAATATAATGTTCCTAATGTAATTAATCTACATAAGTGCTGTGGATCTGTTCAATATTTGACCAAATTCTATTTTCTTAATAGGATTTCTTTGTTGTGATCCAGAAGTCCCCACTTCTGTAGAACTTTACTGTACAACAAACTTTCCAGTTTCATTCCTGTCTGTATTTGTGAAGGTTTGTACAGGGGTTTGTTCGTTCAGTATCATGGAGTGATACAAAGGGAAACCTTTGACTCTGATATTTCATACAAATGAAACAAGAAATGTTAACCTGCTCTGTCCATCCAATGTTACACTCCAGGATGTGTATGCAAATTCGCACATAAAATAATCTGTGTATTCAAACATAAAAGATCACAAAAGCTGTTATACAAAAATAATTGTGTTGATGTAAGTAATCAATTGATGAGGATTAATGTTGAAATCTATCAACTCACTTGTTGATACGCTCTCTAAATTATTCAGATCTTATTTACAGACATTTAGAAATCAGAGAAATTAGTTGTAAATACTTATCTAAAAAAAATTATAATAATGTTTTGTTATCATTTCCACTGTCAAAAGTATCATTGTGTCTTCCATTTAGCTGACCAAAGTAATACAACTAAATTGTACATTTAGTTCTATAACTACATTTATGAAGATCCAAGGATTGATAGTTATAAAATAAAAACAGTGTAAAAATATAAGCCTTCTCTCTGATGGAGGAATGATGTTTGATGACTTGGATTTCAATTGAGGAACAATCCCACAGTTTTAAATGCTTTACTAAATACAACCTGTATTAAACGTTTGATTTTGAGTTGTATTTAGTAGTATTAAATGTATTATGATGTTTTACCTAAAAAGTAGCACTAATCTTTTCTACTCTGTTACAAGCAAAAGTCCTGCATTCAACATGTTACTAATACTAAGCATACACAAGTATGTTCATATCAGCCTGCTGAAGGTGAAAGGTATGTATACAGTATTTTGACTGAAATATAATTTGTGATGAATTACACTTATATCACTTAATGTTAACTACAGTGTAACTTTGGTTAATTAATCAATCTAGCGCACAAAACTAACGCTAGGTTGCGTTCAAGTTTGCGTCCATGTGCACACGGTCGAGCGTTCCTCCTGCTGTTTGTCTCAGTATAACATCGCAGTCAGAAACATTTTTCAGTAAGTTGATTTTGACCAGGGACGTGCACAGACGTTTCGAGGGGCTATTGCTCTAAACTGGAAAAAGGGCATCCCCCCCGAAAAAAAATATAAGACCAAAACGATTATTACATTAACTAATTTGAACAGTAATTCACATCATCATCTCATAACCAAATAAGCTAAGGCGACTACTTGCATTCGGTGACTTGATTTTTAAAATGAAAACCAGGGACATTTTTTGTTTTGCGGTCCATATCTCATTAACATATCTAATGTTAGTAACTAAAGAAAAAATGGGGACAATTCAATGTAGTTTGACCATTGTAACTGCTGTGCAGACATAGGCTACTGATAAAATAGGGCTTCTATAATTACCTTAAATAAACTCACTAATTAATTAAACCAGTTCAATACGCATTATTCTTATTCTTATCATTCTTTATGAGCGCAGTAACGGTAAGGTATCTAATTACTTATTTATTTATTTAGTATTCCATAACTTAATAACAGAGATGGTCAAACTAAAGTAGAGACATGGCAGAAATCCTACAGTGAAGCGGGGCAGTGAAGTGTTCTCCTGTGAGAGGGCGATCAAGAGAAGAGAGCGAGCGGCCCGTTGAGGGAGTTTACCATGGATGTTTAATAGGAGTTTACGGAGCAGATGAAAAGACACAGAAAGACAGAAGCACAATAACAAGTATATGTAGGTGTTTTTTTGTAAATAACCGACGGTGTCAAGAGGAAGTAAAGTCCCGCCATGAGAAAACTCAAAATCCATTTTCCAAAATCCGACACTGGAGGCGGTCTTAACGCACCGGCACCAATACAGTATAATAAATATGATATTGTTATGACATTAGGGTCATGCAGAGTGAGATCACTACCCCTTTAAGAGAGGGGTGTGGTGCGTGCATGTGGGTGTGGGTATGGTAGAGCGAGAGTGAGCGAGCGGTGTATGTTTTCTGGAAATGAAACGAGGCAGCAGGAAAAAGCATAGGTCTGTGATGTATCTTGTGAAACAGAAGAGCAAAATAAATGCAACGACCTCCCAAGAAGAGCTCGCCTCTCTCCAGTCATTTTATAAAGTGGGTTATTGAACCCGAAGCGTGTTGCTTCTGCCCTGGCTGGGAGACGACAGAGAGTCATCCCCCCTGTTTCCTCCACCACGGTCTGGGAGCCGACAGGAAAGTTCAACAATATAAAGGCTATAATCATGGCTATAATACGTAACATGTGTAATCACACACTTAGCGATATAGAACATAAATAATAAAAACGTAGGTATACCTGGTTTAAAACACTTTTGTGGTCATACTGTGGAATGAGTTCACACTGAAACAAGTTATTTATTCAAAATGTCGCGGGCAATTATATGTAAGAAGAAGGAGAAGAAGTAGTAGAAGAAAAATGAAGCTGGTGTGTTTTATTATACATCCATGGTTTTCCCGCAGCGAGACACTACAATACTAATTGTGGCTTATCATGTTGATTCGACCACAACATAAAAAAAAAAAAACCTCTCTCTCCAGAGGGGCAGGTCAGCCAAAAAGGGGAAACGGGCCGTTGCCCGGGCAACATTAGCCCGTAGGCTACCTGTGCACGTCCCTGATTTTGACTTATTAATTAAACATGACTCGCTTTCATTATTTATATAATAATTATTGAGAAGCTAAATTGTTGTAGTGTAGTGCCGTGAAAAGAGAGTCGGAGGCGGTGTATTACGAATGGAGTTCCAATCTTTATTATCCATTACTTTCAGAGAGGTTAACACATGCACTGCTCTGCCTGATGAGCTAGCAGGAATGGCAGCTAAAGCTACAGGTGTTCCCCACTAAAGGGTCCGTGTGGCAACACAATAAGCAAGGTGAATTATGTCCAATAACGTGTCACCACACAAGCCCCCCCAGAATTCACACATAAACAAAATCAGCATGGCGGGGAGGAACGACACGCCGACCCCCCACGACTCCTGAGCACGGGAGTCGGAAAAGTGACTCCCGCCTGTGCGGCCCCCGGAAGGGGAGGGACCGGAACAACAGGTCTTAAATCCGTGACAGGGGACGAGGCCGGGGGGCGGCCCCGTCGCGGAGGTCGAGCCAGCACCACAGGCTGGTCCAAGTCCAGGTGAGCAGCCTTCACCCCGGTCCACCGAGACATGCTCGGCCTTGCCACCCAGGTCGACCACCAGGTGCTTGTCCCCGTGCTCCAAGACCCGGAAAGGCCCATCATAAGGGGGCTGCAGGGGGCCTCTGTGCGCATCGTGCCGGATGAACACGTGCTCCGCCGAGCGGAGCTCTGCGGGAACCTGGGACACCTGAGTACCGTGCTGAGTAGTAGGGATCGGAGCAAAGGCCTCAGCGGCGTCACGCAGGAAAGCCCGCTGGGCCGACGCCGACCAGGGAGCCGATGCATTTGGGAGGAAATCCCCCGGAACTCTCAGCGGCTGACCGTAGACCATCTCCGCTGTAGAACACTGCAGATCTTCCTTAGGTGCGGTCCTCAGGCCCAGCATCACCCAGGGCAGCTTGTCGACCCAGTTACCGTCCGTAAGGCCGGCCTTGAGGGCCGCCTTCATGGAGCGATGAAAGCGCTCGCAGAGGCCGTTAGCCTGAGGGTGGTAAGCGGTAGTCCTGTGCAGCTTAACCCCCCAAACCGCCTGCCACAGCGTTCCAGAGCTCGGACGTGAACTGAGAGCCCCTGTCTGAGGAAAGTCTGACGGGGTGCCAAAACGACACACCCACGTTGCAATGAAGGCCCGGGCAACGTATGCGGCTGATGTCGAAACGAGCGGAACCGCCTCCGGCCAACGGGTCGTTCTGTCCACCATGGTGAGGAGGTAGGAAAACCCCTGAGAGGAAGGCAACGGACCAACCAGGTCAATGTTGACGTGATCAAACCTCCTCTCAGGCACCAGGAAACGCTCCAACGGGGCCTTCGTGTGGCGGTGCACCTTAGCGCGTTGACAAGCCACGCACTCCCTGGCCCAAGTCCTCACGTCCCTTTTCAGTCCTTGCCAAACAAACTTCGCCGCTACCAAACGCACCGAAGGTTTAACGCCGGGGTGTGACAGGCCGTGCACAGCCTCGAACACAGGACGCCTCCAGCTGGCAGGGACGACAGGCCGCGCCAGGCCCGTAGAGACGTCACACAGGAGAGTAATGCCCGCGTCGCCGAACACCACGTCCTCCAAGCGCAGCCCCGCGCTCTCCACCTTCAGGGCCTGGACGCCGGGATCTGTGACCTGGTCTGCCGCCATGCGAGTATAGTCCAGGCCCAACTGGACGGCACCGATGACGACCCTGGAGAGGCAATCAGCAACCAGGTTCGACTTGCCAGCCACGTGCTTAATGTCCGTAGTGAACTCCGATATGTAGGACAGCTGCCGCTGCTGACGTGCCGACCAAGGCTCCGCCACTTTTGACATGGCGAAGGTGAGCGGCTTGTGGTCAACAAACGCCGTAAACTCACGGCCTTCCAGCATGAAACG